GCGTGGATTTGAGCCTGGGTTGTTCTATACGATTTACTGAACCGCAGTTGCCTCCACTATAAAGTAGGGAAAAACACGGTGCCTATCTGATGGTTTGTTGTGCAGATGAAATAATAAAAATAAATACTTTCAGCGACTGGAACATAAATGAGAGTGATTCTCCACAAGACTGCGGGCTCCATGAGCGCAGGGAACAATTACTACTGCATGTTCCGTGTGTGGAGCATCAGAGCCCGCTTGTTGAAAGAATAAACAGTCTTGGAGCTGGGGATTTAGCTCAGTGGCACAGCGCCTGCCTGGCAAGCGCAAGGTCGTGAGTTCGATTCCCAGTACCGGAAAAAACCAAACCAAAAATAATAATAATAATAATAATAAACAGTCTTGACCTTTGATTTCCTGGAGTATTGCAGCAGCTTTGTGCTTTGATCCTTTATCTCAGACCTGCATATAATAATAATAATAATAAACAGTCTTGACCTTTGATTTCCTGGAGTATTGCAGCAGCTTTGTGCTTTGATCCTTTATCTCAGACCTGCATGTTCTCCGACTGCAGTGTCTGTCAGCTACGTGGAGGCTGTGCTGAAACCGGGGTTGCCTGGCTCTATCCTCGGAGTGTTCGATTCAGTAGCGCTGGGCTGAAGAAATTCTTGGATATTATGGGTGATGTTATTCCAGGGACTAGACTTTGAGAAGCACTGTTCTAATCTCACCTGTCCCAACTTGTGTGGAGCCACCCAGGCCTTCCACTGCTGCTGAAGTTTAATGAACACTTGGTGTTCAAGGTCCCTTACAGTCTCAACTTCTTCAGGTCTGACTTACCTTTCGTTTTGTTTTGTTTTTTGATACTAGGAATCGAACTCAGGACCTTGCGCTTGCCAGGCAGGTGCTTGTGCCACTGAGCTATATCCCCGGCCTGACTTACCTTTTAAGTCCCCACTATTTCACTCTTTCTGAGCCCAACAGTTAGGTTACAGTGGATGGACTGCAGTGCTTTGGCTGAATAAAACCTCATTCTAGGATTGTCCACTGTTCTTGGACCCGGAAGCTGACCTCAAATTCACCTTCTTGATTAAGATTTTTCTTTTCTCTTTCTTTCTTTTCCTGCTTTCCTTCTTTCCTTCCTTTGGTGATACTAGAGGTTAAACTCAGGCCCATCCACATGCTAGGCAAGTGCTCTACCACTGAGTTACATCCCCAGCCTCCTTTTAAAATTTTGAGACAGGGTCTTGCTAAATTGCCCAGGTTGATTTTGAACTTATGATCTTCCTGTTTCAGCCTCCCACTTAGCTAAAACTGCAGATGTGCACCACTGCCTTGGCCTAAGTTTTTTCTGATGGTGTGGAGGACCACCGGGCGACTCTCCTTGAAGGAGGAGCAGTTGTCTCCATTTTGGCTGAGCCCGACCCTGTTTCCATGTATTGACACGGGCAGAGCTGGCGGGGACTTTCCCTTATCCCTTCAGTTGGCCTTACGCAATGCATATCGGTCCAGCCAAGGTGCTGATGGTGATCCTGAAGACGGCAGGTGTATTTCCCCACACCCCCACCAGCTGCTTCCCTGTGTGAGCTGGAGGAAGACGCTATGCCTTCCTGGGGCTTGAAAGATCACACATCACAGCTGAAGCACCGACCCCAAAACATTAGATACTATCTCATCTGTGTCACGCAGATCACTCTTCATGCATATCCTCTCTGCATTTGCAGAGGTGATCTCAGGCCTCCTACCTAGCCCAGCTCATGGCGCTCACCTACTTCTCCTTTCTTCACCAATGAATGAAAACTGGGTTCGGCCTTGGGTGGAGGCCTTTGTTCAGGATAGCCTTCATCATGGCTGGATTTAGGCCCCCTTGGCTCCCCATAACTACAAATACGCCTTAGCGTCTTAATCTCACCACGGGTTGCACTGGAAGTGGTAGATTGGAATGAACTCACTGGAACTCCAGTAACTTCTCATGGGATTACAGATGTAATTTCCTGGGCCGCAGAGAGGGTGGGAAGGGATCTCTATAGGATGGCTCCTTTTTCTTTGCAAAACTGAGGTCTCTCCTTGCCTGTCTGCCCCCTCCCCCCCATCCCAGGCACACTTCAATTAAAGCTCCTGTAAAATCCTTGCATTTATACCTTTTGGTAGGTTCCTCCTGCCGGACTGTGCGCTCTTGCTAGGCTATGAGCTAATCCTTCCTGTGTGTCCTGGTTCAAGCTCGGTGCCTGCCCTTAGGAGACACCAAGTAAATAAGGATACCTGGTATCTCTTGAGCACTTAGCACTGGGTAGAGTTTATCGTTACAGCGTACTTTTGTTTATCGATTTGGGTAGGCTTTATTACTTCCCTTTGAGGGGTGCAGCTGTCACCGTATAGGGCCCAAAGGGGTCTCCCAAACAGGAGATGGGGACCTTAATTTGGCCCACCTAGTAGGTTCCTGACTCTGTTCAAGGAAGCATTTCAGGACATGTCAGTGTGAGGCACAGGCAGGTTTACCAGGCAGAGGTAAAAACTAAGAGGGCCGGATGCAGGCGGGGCTCACCCGGATATCGTCCGGAAAGCTGTTTTCACAGAAGGCAGCGTCAGTCTTAGGGTTATCCCAGGGGGGCCAGGGTCCAGTGGAGCATCACCTTGGTTCTGGTTAGGGATTTTTAGGGCTCGAGGGACAGACGGTTCCCACCGTGAGACGGTTCTTGCTGGGCAGCGGGGCTGCCTTGGTTTCCATTGTGGGGTGACATGCCTCTTCGGAGTGCTGAGCACGCCGGGCTCTGCCTCTCCTGGAACCCAAGGTCCTTACAGGTTTACAGCCTTCCTTTCCCCATCATCCATTTTTTTCTTGAAGCTCTTTCTAACTTCCTAGAAGTACAGCTCAGAGGGGCTGGGGAAACTGGCCGATCCTTGCGTTTTTGCCCTAACGGCACGCATGTGAGTTCGATCACGGGAGAGTTCATTCACTCAGTTTGTGGACTAGGTAAGCGGAAGGGCCTTCGCAGCACGCAGTCTGCCTCGAGTCGCCGGCGACTTCCTTACACAATCGCGCGCGTTTCAAAGACAGGGACTGGGAGGGTCGGAGACAGGCGGGCGGGGTTCCGGCGTGGAGCGGCGGAGCGCAAGCCGACCCCGGGGCGCAGGCCCTCGCCCCGCGGTCTGTCTCCCTGCCGGCATTGGGGCCACGTGCCCGGGACCCCAGGAACCCGCGCATGCTCCGCGCCCGGCGGGACCCGGACTTTCGCCGCGCGGACCCCGGCCCGCCCCGGGCAGAGCAGCTGGAGCGAGACCTCACCGCCGCCCGCAGCCCCGCCCGGCCCCAGGCCCCTTGGCACCGCCCCCGACCGCAGTGTTCTCTGATTGGACGTGGCTGCGCTCAGCCGGCCAATGGAGAGACGGCGTGTAGGTTCCCGGAAGTGGAGGCTAGCGGTGTTTGCCCGGGCTTCTGCGGCTGGCTTGGGGTCGCGTCCAGCCGGGCACGATGAGCTCCTTCCAGGGTCAGATGGCCGAGTACCCAACCATCTCCATAGATCGCTTCGACAGGGAGAACCTGAGGGCCCGCGCCTACTTCCTGTCGCACTGCCACAAGGGTGAGTGAGCCCGCCCCGGGTCCCCACCGCCGGGCGCAGGGCTGGCGGGAGGGTGCGAGGGCATCGGCCGCGAGGGCTGCAGCTGAGGGCCCGCCACGCCCGCGGCCGTGTCCATGCCGGTGCGGCCCGGCTGGCGTGGACGCGGGCAGCGCGCCTACCCTGGCAGGTGTAAGCAGGCCCTGCTGCCGGGCTCTGCGGTAGCTCTCCTGGTGGGGCCCGTCGGAGGCTGGTGAGGGCTCGATCGTTCTTCCCCGTGCCCCTCCGTTCCCGTTGCCATGTGTAAGGCGGACGGGTTTCAGAGCGACCGCCACTTCCTTTGGGAAGCGCGCGCACATGCGCACTCACGCGGTCCCGCACACCTGTGCGCCTGACCCGGGGCACGCCCTCCCGCTCTTAGATCTTCGGGCTGCAGCCGACGTGAAGGGTTCCTTCTGCTCCAGGACGGTGGGGTGCAGAAGTACCTTGCAGATGGCGCCAGGCAAGCAGAGTACAGTGCTACTGTTCCATAGGTGGGCGCGTTAGGGATATTTAGGGATTAAGTGTCATCCCAGTGAGACTCGTTTGGGGCTGGGTGCTCCGCCGGGAAGCAGCCGATTCTCTGAACTTGAATAACGGTTTCACAGACAGTGCCTGCTTTTTGTTTGTTTGTTTATGTTTTTGTTTTGTTTTTTTGCCGGTACTGGGAACTGAACTCACGACCTTGCGCTTGCCAGGCAGGCGCTATGCCACTAAGCTAAATCCCCAGCACCCCACAATGCCTATTTTTGAAATCGATTCTGTCAATAAGTCACCAGCTCTGCCAACAAAACAGTTTTACAGTTCGTTGTGCTAATCAGTGCCGCAGTGGGCACGGAGCAGAGGCATGCCGAAGCACCCCAGCGCCCTCGCTTCCCGTGTGGCCGCCAGAATTGCTGGGGTGGGGTGTTCCCAAGCCCTGGGAGGGGTGACTTGAGTAACACACCCAGCGCACACACATCCCCTACGTCGCGGGTATTTTAAACTATGGAGCAGAACGCTGCTTCCTTCAGGGTGGAAGAGAATCAGCTGGTGTCTTGCGTATGAAATCGCTGTAACCTGGTGCCGATGCTGCTGCTTCTGGGAAATTCCTGGGTTTTTTTGTTTTTTGTTTTTTTAAAGTTAGTACTAGTGAGGAAAAGCCTGAATCTTCTCTTTGTATCAGCCATGGAGCATTTTGAGCCTCTTCGAGAGTCTGTTTATTCTTTTTTTTTTTTTTTTTTAAGCCAGG